TGGTTATTTAAAAAATTATAGACGAACATAATTTGGTTGTTGTTGTTGTTGTTGTAGCGGCTACAACAACCCCGCCCAGATCGGTTGGTATCTCAGTCGTTGTCGTCAAGTTCCACTAACGGCAACCCTAGGAAGCGTGCAGCTTCTGCGGGGTTTGCCCATAGGGACAAGGCCGTTAGGGTTGTCGGGTTTCCCCATACGGTTAACATGTAATGTTTAAAATGGTTTTTCTCGAATCCAGGTTTTTCGACTTAGGCGGTTATTGTTTATGGCCACAGATATTTCATATGAAATTATCATTTCCCATGTTTAAGGAGTAACACCAAACCAGCAATTACTGTTATAATTGAAAGTTTTCATAAAAAAATTGTTTCGAAAGCTATTAACTCATAACTGTTAGAACGACCCACGTTCGGATTCGTTGAATTAATAGGATTAAACTGACACCAATAACGGACTACTGTTATCTGATAGTTTCCCCGTTATCTATTTGCCCTCGAAAGCGAGGACGCCATAGTTTTATTTTTTTTTCACCGCTGTTGCCGGCAGACTTTTAATTTTACTACACCAACACTATAAACACAAATCCTCGAAAGATTTCACAATTTATGTTTTAGATGCTGTGTATCATGTTAATTGCAAGCAATTCGCCTTCAGCCACGTCTTCATCGCCCTTGTTTTGGGAGTGTTGCTGGAGTGACAGTCCTTAGCCAAATATAAATCTGGGTCGTTCCGGTTACGTAGACCCGACTGTCGTGGGAACGCTCTCTCAAGCTTCGCGTTCACTTCGTTTTCTACCGTATGTGCCCACACTCTCAGTGCTTTGTATTTTTGAAATTTGTGTTTCGCCCAGAAAAAATGGGCTATTTAACTTATTGTGCTTGTGGTAAATGACTTTACTACTTCTCGATTACTATTCAGGCTTCACCACTAGTAAAAGTAAGAATATATTTTCTGCAGTTTGTAGTCTTTTGATCACTCAACGCTTGTCAATATCCATCTAAGTATTCAAATGAATTTCTGGTTGAAGTGGGTATGTTGTTGTTGTTGTTGTAGCGGCTACAACAACCCCGCCCAGATCGGTTGGTATCTCAGTCGTTGTCGTCAAGTTCCACTAACGGCAACCCTAGGAAGCGTGCAGCTTCTGTGGGATCTGTCCACAGGGACAGGGCCGTTAGGGTTGTCGGGTTTTCCGGGCATGCGAAGAGATGGTTCGAGTCATGTGGGGTCTCTCCGCATGCCGGACATTCGTTCGGCACATCCTCATTCAGCCTACTCAGGTAGGAGTTTAACCTGCTGCAGTAGCCGGAGCGAAGTTGAGCAAGTGTAGTGCGTGTCTCCCGAGGCAGATGAAGCTCTGTCTCGTCAATGTCCGGGGGTGGTATGCCTAGAACGGCATTCACAGGTCTAGAGTCTACATAACTCGAGACTGAGTCCCTGTGAATGCCGTTCAGGGCCTGTCTGTACGCTGTCGGGTCCAGAGGTTGCTTAATGAACCTCTGGACTTCGTCCGTCAGTTCATATAGATGCCTCCTGACGTGCCTAGGCGAGGGCTCCTCTGCAAGCAGCTGTCTGTTTGGGTGGCCACTTCTGTGGCTCCCGATCAGGAACTGCTTGCAGAGCATTATGTTGTGCTCCTTAACTGGGAGCATTTGCGCCTCGCCGTGCAAGTGATGTGCTGGCGACATCAGGAGGCATCCCGTCGCTGTCCTAAGTGCCGTATTTTGTCCCGTCTGTAGCTTCGTCCACTGCGTCCTACTAGTCCCTGGCGACCACACTGGCGCTGCGTAGTTCAAAACCGGCCGGCCTATTGCCTTGTATGTTGCCAGCAACGTTTCTTTGTCTTTGCCCCAAGTACTGCCGGCTAGCGACTTGAGGACCTTGTTGCGGCTCTGTACTTTATTGACAATAGCGGTTGAGTGCGCAGAGAAGAAGAGCAGGCTGTCGAATGTTACTCCGAGTATTTTGGGGTTATTCACCGTCGGAATTGGTGTGTCATCGACGTGAATCCCCAGCGGTAGCCTGACCTCCTTCGTCCAGGTTGTGAACAGGGTCGCGGAGGATTTCGTAGGGGAGAGGGCTAGACACTTTGCAGTGAAGAAGCGAGAAAGTTCGGAGAGATAGCCGTTTACTTTCAAACACAGGTCATCAATTCCATTCCCAGTCGCCATGATCGAGCAGTCGTCGGCATAGGAGACAATCGAGACTCCCTCTGGTGGTTGAGGGAGCTTTGAAATATAAAAGTTAAACAGTAGCGGGGAAAGGACACCACCCTGAGGAACCCCCTGTTTTATTTTACGCTGCTTACTCGTTTTGTCTCTAAATGTTACAGACGAATGTCGACCACTCAGATAATTTGCCGACCACCGTTTGAGCCTCTGTGGGAGAGAGGAGGCCTCTATATCTTCTAGCAGCGTGGAATGGCAATGGAGTCAAACGCCTTTGACAAGTCCAACGCTACTAGAATCGTTCTCTCACAGGGACGGTTGCGGTTAAGGCCACGAGTTATCTGAGTGTTTATGGCGTTAAGTGCTGTTGTTGTACTGTGCACTTTACGGAAACCATGCTGATGCTTCGCTGGGGTCAGGTGGTTTGTGAAGTACGGGAGTAGCAAGGCCTCAAGTGTTCGCTACCGGGGAAAGGAGTGTAATCGGACGATACGAATCTCCTTTGTTGGCGGGTTTCCCCGGTTTGAGCAGTGGGACCACTCTCCCCACCTTCCAGATGTCTGGGATGATGAGAGTGGCCATTGACAGGTTGAGGACCTCCGTTAGGTACGCTACCCCCGCAGGACCCAAATTTTTCAGCATCAGCATGCATATTCCGTCGGGACCCATGGCTTTGGAGGCTTTCGCCTTCCCGATGGCCACCTGAACTTCACCGCAAGTGAAAACAAGGGGGGCACAATTTGTTGGCAGTTTGTGCAGCCTTCTGGTCACTCGACGCTTGGCTTTGTCTACCGGAGGATGCAGTATGAACTGCCGGCTAAAATAGCTCGCGCATCTCTCCGGGTCCGACGAAGCATGGTCGCCGAAGGAAATTTCGACTCTGTCGTCGTGCTTCGTCGGATTAGACAATGACCTCACGGTTGACCAAAGCTTGCTCACACCAGAGGTGAAATTACAAGTCTTCAGGTGCTCCTCCCACTTCTTCCGCTTATGTACGTTCACAAGTTGCCGAATCTCCGCGTTGAGATCCCTGATACGGGGATCTCCGGGATCGGCCTGACGAAGGCTATCACGCTCATCAGCTAGAACAGCCGCTTCGGCAGGGAAGTTTGGACGTGGGTCCGATATACATCCTGCCGGTATGAAGCGAGCTGCAGCAGCAGTGATAGCCCTGCGGAACTTACGTTCACCGAGGTGGACGTCGGTTGGTGTGGGGAGCGCTGCGAAGGTGTTTTCAGTAAACTCCGCGTAACCTTTCCAATCAGCTTTGGAAAAGTTGATATAGGTCCGGTGTTTGGCGGAGGCAAAGTCGGTTGGTTTATCAATCGAGATGACTATGGGTAGATGGTCTGATGCTAGAGTCAGCATAGGTCGCCACGTTACGCTGTTTATCAGACCAGCGCTGACTATTGTGATGTCTGGCGAGCTACTGCAGTTACCCATAATCCTGGTGGGTGCGTCGTCGTTCATTGTGCAGAATGTCGAATCGTCTATCTGCTCAGCCAAGTCTGTTCCCCTACGATCGTTTGACAGGCTTGAGTGCCAAAGATCGTGGTGCGCATTAAAGTCACCTACTACCATACGGTTTTCACCTCTGAGGAGCGCACCTATATCAGGGTGATATCCTGCCGGGCAGCAGGTGACAGGGGGTATGTAAATGTTAAATATTTCGAGCTCGACATCGCCTGACCGGATAGCGATGCCCTGACATTCTAGGGTGGTATCCCTGCGGTCGATGTCTGCTTCGATAAGACGATACTGCACGGTGTGGTGCGTGATGAACGCTAAGCCACCACCATTATCTCGCTCGCGATCTCGACGGTGCACGTTGTACCCGGCGCAATTCAACAAAGTTGAATTGCTGTGCAGCTTCGTCTCTTGGACCGCAGCTATTAATATACCATGCCGACACATGAAGACGGTTATCTCCTCAATCTTGCTCTGTAGCCCGTTACAGTTGAATTGGAGGAGCTTCATGTGGTTCGGGAGACGTGTCGTGATGTGGGGTGTGAGTGAGGTGTATGTTCTTGCCGCCGTTGGCTGTGTGTGCTGCTGAGGTGGTTGCCGCCCTGTGGTGGTGGTGGGGGGCGTCGCAATTGACGTCTGCGACCGGGCAGCACAGCACGGGCCCTCGAAATTCCCCGGCCAATCTCGCGTGGTACGCAGACCTGAACATGCCCTAAAGTGGCACCAGCCAAGGCAGGTGTAGCACTTGACTGATGTCACATTACGGAATATTCTGGTCTGACATACCGTGCAGATTGTAGGGGGAACCAGGAGTTGTTGGCGGCGGCGTGTGGGTGGCGGTGCGGTTGTGTGAGTTATGTGGTCAGTGGTGGCTGTGGTACGGTCTGTGGTGTTGTTATGTTGTTGTGTAGTGGCGACTGTGTGTGGTTGCTGTGTGAGTGTGTGGTTGCTGTGTGAGTGTGTGGTTGCTGTGTGAGTGTGTGGGGCTGGACGGGCGGACTATCGTTTGCCGTGGAGGCTGCTCTGTTTGAGCTACAGGGGGCCACGTAAGACGTGGTCTGTGTGTCCGTAGTCCCGAGCAGACCCTGAGGTGACTCCACCCCTCGCAGGCATTACACTTGACTGAGGTGGAGTTGTGGTGTAATCGTCTTCGGCATACACAGCAGGTGTATGTTTCTGGCCCAGGGTTTGACTCGATGCCAGCCCTGAGTAGGAGAATGCGTAGTGAATGTTGCCCTATGGACGGACAACTTCTGAGATACTTCGCCGACCTAAACGGGGTTAGATCGCCGAAACAACAGCCCTTGGTCGGGTGAAACCCGAGTTATTCCGGTACGTAGAACCGGCTGTCGTGGGAATGGTTGAAGTGGGTATCATTTCTTCTGCTTTGAAAAGAAGCATACGGTTGACCCAAGCTTACTTAATCTTTCCGCTTACGCTGGTTATGGGTACAAAGTTAGCATTCGTCTGTGTACAAGTGCACTCGGGCACTAATTTCTTACCAGGCAAAAATTATATCCTTAACGTTTATTTAAATAAAAAATTTTTAACTAACATTTACGGCAATTAATAACAGTGGATATATTAACGTAATCATAGTCGTAGCCGACAAAAAGTATTGTACAGCGAACTAGTCTATTTGATATATATGTATATCGGACAGTCTTCTGATAGTATGGCTATATTCCAGAACGCATCAATACAATCGATAGAAAGCGTTAGAAGTCTGTGTTCAAAAATGCATCAAGCCAAAGCATCAGTCTCTTTTATTTCGAAACTATAATTTAAGGAAATGACCAATATGCGCAACCACGGTTAAATGCCGCATTGGAACTTAATTGCGCAAATAAGGCATTTCCATCAATAAATAGTGTAGAACACAAACTTCTTATAATGCTTTGTATCCATGTGTTTTGGAAAACTCTCGTATCTGGTATAGAAAACAAATTCTTACATACAACGGATAAAAAAATGAATGTGTTAATCATATACACTAAAACAAAGAAAACAATAAAAGAAATACATTTAATTGACTTCAATTTCCAGTTCAGCTAGCAGCATATCAAATGCAAATATCGACGATACAAACGTATACGGCTTATTATGTATGACGCCGTAGTCGGGTTCGAGGCTAGGTAACGCACGACTGCGGAATAGTTGCTGTTTGGGAGCACGTGACGGTGCAACAGGCTTGCGTACATTTTGATTCATGCGCTCTTTACGCGCAACAAGTTTTTTAGTCTCCCGCACCACATATAATGATTCAGGAGTCGTCATATACTCCCGAATTATCTGTGTGGAACATTAAAAGAAAAAGATGGTAAACAATTATATAGGAATGCTCGAAATAAACGTCATGAGTAGCAAACTTACGTGGCGCTTGTAGGGACAATGTGCAAATAGCCAAATTAGCGTACATAAAGTATTGAATATTTCACTATCCTTGTCACACCAGCGCAGCAGCATCTGAGCTATAGTGACAAGACCGCTCTCCTGGAAAGTATTTGCCGTAGTACTATTGTAACGCGCCAAATTCAAAATAATTCGACTGCAATAGCGAATCAATTGCTTGTCGACTTCGCTGCGTATTGTCTGTGCCATGACGCCATAACAAAACGTTGATATAAAGTCCGACTGATTCATTAAGATGTGAGGCACATTCCGAGAAATTCGATCTGGCAACGTTTGTAAAAATTAATTATCAACTGACAAGCTTATATATTTAATTATAAATTTTTAGACATTAAAAATGACTTTCAAGGTCGCGCAGAAATGGATGAGTAAAATTTTACATTAATTTACCTAGGCATATGAGTACGTGCAGAATTTCTGAAGCGCTCGAATGATCGCGCAGTATACCCACCGCATGTGAAATTTTACTGCTTA